AGGCTGGCCTTGAGCTTGCTTTGTAGCCCAGGCTGGTCTTGAACTCACAATGATCCTCCTGCCTCAGCCTCCTGAGTGCTGGGATTACAGGTGTACACAACCATGCCCAGCTTCTTTTTTTTTGAGACAGGGTATTGCTGTGTAGTTCAGCCTGGCTGCAGACCCACAACACTCCTGCCTGAGCCCCCTGAGTGCTGGGATTCCAGGCGTGAGCCGCCATGCCTGGCTGTCAGCCTTCTTTCTCTGCGGAGACACATTACCACACGTAAGGTTGGACCTCCTGGCCTTTCTGCTATTTCTAGACAAAGAACACTGTATCCTGGAACAACAGCTAAAGATTAACAGGGAGTATACTGTTTGCCACAGGTCATCTAAGTGTCTTGCATGCCTCATTTCCTTTAATCCTCACACCCTCTTATTATCCTTCTTCTAAAACGGAAGCACAGAAAGATGAAGTGGTTTAAACACCACATGGGCCGTCCAACTCACTGGGAGAGCCAGGGCTCAACCACAGGCGCTTTCAAGTCGGAGACTACACTTAAGCACCTCTGGCACTCAGGATTCTGATGCACCTCGGGCCTGCATGGGGAGACGGGGCGGCTGTCCCTCCAGACAAAATGTGACAAGCGACACACACATCAGCTGCAGTCCTGTGGTTGAATGGCGGCCAGCATTAACTAGCAAAGCTTGGCTGTGGATCACTTCGTTCCCGACCCACTGCTGTCCCCTGGTGGTTTCCCCAGGAAACTCAGGTCCAAGAAAGCCAAGGGTCCAGGGAAACTGCTGGCCTGAAAAGAACCAGATCAGATGAACTATTCGCTCGTAAGGAGTGTTGACCTGCACTGTCAGAGTGAGAGGTTTCTTCCTTTGGTGCCAGCCTAACAACAGCTGACTGTCCAGGGTCCCCATTACTTAATCATGAAGCAGGCCGTGCTTGCTGGGCCGCCTCGAAGCTGGCGATGGTGCCCGGATCCAAGGCAGCAACTACGCGTCCCGTGACTACACGTGTTACTGTAAGGGCAGGAGACGCCGAGACTTCATGGTGCTACTGCGCTTGCTGTCACATTTTGCCTTTAAGCTTCTAGGCCTTCCCCGCCCGCCCGACGGCTCCCAGATCACTGCGCCGCACCCCTGCAGACGTCATTACTCAGCTACAGGGTGTCTGTCTTTCAAGCGGGCTCAGTGGTGCAGGATCATACAAAATAAAGAACAAGGTCATTTTGTGTTAAAAGACTAAGCAAAAAGGGAGAAAAGGCAGTTTGTTTCTTTCTGTGGTATTTTGGAGATAAAAGTCTCACTTTGTAGTTCAGGCTGGCCTTGAACTTGAGGCCATCATCCTGCCTCAGCCTCACAAGCGCTGGGATTCTAGGTGTGTGCCGCCATGCCTGGGTGAAAAAGGTAGTTTCTGAGAGTCGTGTCTTCTCTGGAGCCATGGAATTGGTTGCCCATCTTCATGGATCTAGCAAACTTACTGTCTAAAAGAAGCAGATAAGGGGCTGGGGATTTAGCTCAGCGGCACAGTGCTTGCCTCACAAGCGCAAGCTCGTGGGTTTGATTCCTGGTACCGGAAGAAAAAACAAATAAAAGCAGCAGATAACCACAGCCCAAATGCAGAAGACTTTGTTTTTTATTTATTTAAAGATTCAGATGCAGCAAAAGGATACAAGTTAATATTGTTAAAAAAAAATCAAATTTCCGCTAACCAAGCACTGTCTTTAATGCTAAGACGGGACAAGAGACGCAGGACAGCCACAGAAGTGTCGGCGAGCGGAGCTAAGTTTCTGCTGTAGAACACCTCTCCAGTGATCTCTGGATACACAGAGGACAAGTCACTACTGCTGAAGCCACGGGGCTGAAGGTGCTGTCCAGAGCCACAGCCGCTGGCCGGGGGCGCTGGCTTCGGTGAGGCACTTGGAGCTGAGGAACCTGCGGACGTAACAGCCACAGCTGCACGGAAGTGGTCTGGAAGGTGTTCTCAGAGCGCAGCACCGCCCTCGAGCAAGTTATCCCGAGACCCCTAAGCGACTCCTCCAGTCCTGTCTGCTGGGCTCACTCTCGCCCATCAGCAAAAGCCCGTGAGACAGCTGCCGGCCCTCACAGTCCGACTTTCTGCCCTCTCTGCCAGCTCTTTTACAAAGGCTACATACAGGTCTGAGATCTCGAGAAGTAAGTGTTTTTGGAGGTTGTGAGGCACACTCCTTCATCTCGTGGCACTGACTGAGCTTCCGGTCTGATTTCCCTCCGTTCTCCCTTCCCGCTACCCTGCCCTCTTACCCCTGTGGAGACATACTGGCATCAAACGCTTCTAGCCTTTGATTGCTACTGGGACTTCCCAGCAGAAGAGATTCTGGTTTTTGTCATCCAGAAGTTCCCATTTCACCACCAGTTTTATCTAGAGAAAGAGAAAAAGAATTGGGAAAAGTGAAACTAGGATTTGACCCTAACCCAAAACTGGCTTACCCGTGTTTCTAAACTGTAACGAACCACCTAATTCCTCACCCTTTTCTTCTAAGACCAGGAGGCCACTTCGCATCTAGACACTGCCTGTGGCCTCGAGCTCAGAAGAGCAACCAACATACACCTCCTGTGACTTGGTGCTAACACGCAAGAATCTAATCAACATCTCAGAGACTTCTAAAGCATTCTTCTCTGCGATCAAGGACACGTAAAGAAAACCTTTCAAGAAAATCACTTTACATTTAGATAATCGTGCAGGTATCTGACAAAGGGATTTCAGCACTCTTCTCCTCATTGCTACCTTTAATGCAGGTTCACTCCAGTACCACCTACTCGCAAGTGCTTGGCAGGAAAGGAAGAGGTAAAGGAGGAACAGGTCAGAGGGGAAGGTGGACTCTGGAAAGGTAAAGGGGAGAAGGGAGGGTGGAAAAAGTTTCCTCTCTGCAGCGGAGCCTGCAGAGTCTGATGGAGAAGCCAGGATTTCTGAGGATGACGCTGAGGTAACCTGCACCTTGAACAGCTTGGTACCTGGCTAAAATCTTTTCACACTGCACAGGCTTTGGTGTTAGAAGACCCAGCTCTAAATCTGGGGTGCCAGGTTTCTTTGTGGAGTGGGCTCTGTCCATGTCGTAAAACATCAGCGTTAATCTGTCAGAGAATCACCTCCATGCAGGTGGTCCTGAGGAGCAAGTGCAGTGCTGCGTGTAAAAGCAGCGTCGTGAGGCTCCCAGCTAAACATCAGGCCGTGGTGAGAGGACGGAGCACACAGTGAAAAACCCCTGCCCTACTGCAAGATTCCTAGCACTTCGCTTATCTCCCTTTTCCTCTGGCATCTGCTTCACTGTCAGAGACAAGGGGCCCTTTATCCCTACCTTTGCTGTCTGCTCCTTGCCTCAGATTTCTAATCCCGCCCCAAGGTCTCGGGCGTCCTCGACAGCCGCGGCACTTACGTCAGGGTATTCGCTCTTCACCGGCAGCTTATTCAGGTAGCTATAGGTCTTGCCTTTTTGGATGGGGCAGGTGATTCCACTCTTACAACCGTCAGGCTCAGGGATGGGAAAGGGGATGGGCACCTTGAACAGGATGCCGTGCACGAAGGCTGTGCTATTTGTAGACTGAGTATCTAAAAGAAAAAAAGAGAATCAGGTGAGAAGGAAACAGTGTATTTATAAATTCTAACTTAAATCTTCAGATGTATTCTCAAACAACAGCCTGGTGATACTAGAAAATCGGAAAGCTTTGCCTCTCAATTCCTAGGGTCTCTGCAGTTATGTGTAGGATCCAGCACGACACAAACCATCAACAGGCAAGAGCTGTTCTTTCTCCTCCCCCGTCTTGCCCTCCGCGGCCCCTCAGCTTCTCAGGATAATCAGAGCTCCCGGGATGAATAACCTTATCTAGCAAGGTGCCTGACTTCTGACAGTAAACTTCCCGTTTGCTATTTATACCAGCTTCTACTAAAGAGCATCATGTGCTTTAAATACCAAGTTCTGTGATGACAGTGAAAGAGAGAACATTTCAGAGACCCGGTTAAGATGGGAAACAGGTACATTTCTCGGTAGCCTCTGCCTCCATACCACAAGCCGGTAGGAGACGTACGGCATCATGAAATTAGGGCACTCAGACGTAGGCGCTGGCAGGGTACTTTGGAGACGCAGGGCTGCTTTCGTGCTTCCTGCTGGGCTGGGGAGACTTCTGTTTGGAAAGCCCATCCCTCCAGCTTGGCCAGGGGTGCGGCTCATGCCTAACATTTGAGGCCCTGGACTCAAATCCCAGCACGGCAGTGGGGAGGCGAGGGGAGAAAGAAAAAGGAAAAAAAGAACGCATACGCTTCCAGGTGAGAGGCGAGGAAAAAAAACAGGGAGCTCAGATCTGCAAGTAGACTTCAGCCTTATGAATACGACATGATAGGAACTCTGAGGTTCCCCAGGAGAGTATCTAGTTTCATAGAAAACTAGGGGATGGTTCAGGGCAGATGTTCTGTCCAGAAATAAAAATTTTACATTTATCTCAATTCTTGGGAGTCTGGAGGTGGTGAAAGCGGTACAAGAAGACAATCTAAGTTTCAGTACTATGTCTTCATGTTGAAGAACGAAGCTCAGGTTTTTTGATGGTTTCCTACCTTACAGAGACTGTTAAATATGAATTGCACCTTTTGTTTCAGGTGGGTATAGACTTAATAGCTGAAAGGTAGCTTTCTTGAAATAACATTTTCTTCCCTGGTTTTTCAAAACGGGGTCTCACTGCACAATTCAGGCTGGCCTTGAGCTCACTATGCATCCCAGGCTGGCCTCAAACTTGTGGCGATCTTCCTGCCTCAGCCTCTCTAGTGCTGAGATTACAGGCGTGCACCATCACACCTGGAAGAAATAACATTTTGGAGGAGTTCCAAAGTTTACAGAATTGGGTCTACAGCCATACCACCCTGAACACTCCCGATCTTGACTGATCTTGGAAGATGAGGAGGGTTGGGCCTGGTTAGCCAACGTTTCCAGAATCTGAGTCTGTACTAACACTCACAGTATGTAGCTACAGCTGACATTCCCATGAAAGTCTGCTGTGCAACATGGGCCAAGACAGGACAGAGGTAAGACAACCCGCTGACACAGAGAAACTACCCCTCTTAAAGGAAGCCCAGCGACCACGGACTCCGAGTAAGAGGCATACGGGGACCCAGTGTGAGAAGGGTGTCCAAGGGCTCGGTAAACTCCAGCTTTGCACAAGGTGGAAGACAGGTCCGAGTTCCTGACGGTCACGTTCTCCGCCCCTACAGCCCCTGGGTGGTCCTTCCAACAGCTGGTGTTTACGTTATGCTTCCGCACTAAGGCAGGGTGAGAGCCGGGTTACTCACTGCTGGTAAAGGTCACGTTGACACTGTAGGTCTGTCCTTTGTTCAGCTCACATGGTTGGGTGGGACATGGGTTCACATTTACCTCCTTTATAACTCCAACCTCAGAACCTAAGAAAACATTTAAAGAAAAGGAATCAGAATAGGTGGAAAGGCATTCCAGGGACCAGGGAGGCCGCCCACTGCCCAGCGGGCTTGGCCCTCCTCCCCCAGTTCAGGTGCAGCACTCTCTGACTGCTTTCCTGGGATGGAACCTTCAGGGCAATGTACAAGTGAGAGACAGAACTGTGTTGGGCGAAGAGGCACAGCCCACAGTCCCAGCACTCGGGAGGCCAAGGCAGGAGGACTGCAAGCTCGAGGCCAGCAACATAGTGAGTTCCAGCCAACCTGGACTACATAGAAAGACATTGTCTCAAACAAACCAACAAAAAGTGAGAATTCTGGTTCATCTTACTCCTAAAATCATATCCTATAAATTGGGCCAAAAGGACATCACTCATTTCCTGATGACGAAGTTAATATTTGTCAAATATCCAGAGACCATGTGTAAACGATTATATTAAAGGGATTAAATTATAACCCAAGAAACTCAGAACACTCCAAGATTTAAAAAAATTTTTACTTTTACTAGTGCATGTTTGTGGTACATAATGATTACATTCATGGGGGCGGTTGGTACATTTACATAATACATCTTATTTCGTTTTACTTCTTCTCCCCCTCCTCGCTCCAAGATTCTTCTTCTTTGTTTTTAACTTTTGTTATTTTTGTGGCAGAGTCTCAGGTAGTTCAGGCCAGCCTTGAACTCACTATGTAGCCCAGGTTGGCCTTGAACTTGCAGTGATTCTCCTGCCTCAGCCTCCCGAGTGCTGGGATTATAGGTGTGTACCACCATGCCCGGCTATTCCTACAATCTTGCATTGCATTCCTAATACAAAAATTTAAATTTAAGCCTTGAAAATGTTTGCCTCAATCTTCTTCTGAATGTTTTGTTAAAGTATTCTTGTCTCCCCTTTCATTTTCTAGGGAAGAAAAAACAGCTGGAAGGCAAACCTGATGCCCGAAACTCCACCAAGGAAGGCAGAAAGAAGTTAGGCCACCTTTCTACCCCTAGTCCTACAACGGCAAGTGCTGCTTTAAGGGGTTTGGTGTTTGTTGGGTATTTGTTGGGTTTGGTATTTGTTGACAGAACCCAGAAAAGAAAAACTCTTTAAAAGTTTCTTTTAGAACTTTAGCTCCCGAGTTATTCATTTTGAGGCCTGATGGAAGTTGCACCATGGGTAGCAAGGATGAAGGGAAGCTGAAGCACTTGAGGAAAAAAAAAAACCTTACAATCTAACCTCCTGTTTTAGAGGTTAGAAAACAGAAAAGCATTAAGATTACCATGACTTCAGAAGAGACCTAGTATAGCAAAGGCAATCCTGGGCAACAAAGGCAAGGCGGGGCATCAGCATTCCTGACTTGAAATTATACTACAAAGCTATCATGATAAGAATAGCACAGTTTTGGCAAAAAACAGACCAGAGGATCAGCCGAACAGATTAGATGATGCAGAAACAACTCCAAGCACATTCAGCCACCTTATCTTTGACAAAGAAGCCAAAAATCCTTACTGGAAGATAGCCTGTTTAATAAATGGTGCTGGAAAAACTTGCTTTCCACCTGCTGAAGACTAAAACTAGACCCATTATCTTTCACCACGCACTAAACAAAAATCGAAATGGATCAAAGATCCAAAAATTAGGGGCTGGGGATTTAGCTCAGCGGCAAAAGCGCCTGCCTGGCAAGTGCAAGGTCGTGAGTTTGGTTCCCGGTACCGGAGAAAAACCAAAAAAAAAAAAAAAAAAGATCCAAAAATTAAAACAGAAACACTAAATCTACTGGAAGAGAAAATAGGTAGAACTCTTGAAGACATAGGTATAGGCAATGACTTTAGGAACAAAACCCCAGCAACACAGGAGCTATTATAAAGAATCAACAACTGGGATTTCATCTTATTATAAAGCTTTTACACAGCAAAAGAAACCATCTACTGAGTGAAGAGACAACCTACAGTGTGGAAATTATTTTTGCCAGGTGTTCCTCAGACAAAGGACTAATATCTAGAATACATAAAGAACTAAAAAAAAGAAAAAAATCAGACCTCCCCAAACTTACAGACTCATTCAAAAAAATAGGCATCTGCAATGAACAGACACTTCTCTGATGAAGAAGGAGAAAGAGCAAACAATATATATGGCAAAAATGTTCAACATCACTAGGCATTCGAGAGATGCTTTTGTTGGCTTCTGCCACCCTGAAGTGTTGCCCTGTGCCATGCCACCCTGCCTTGGAGCCAGCTGATTATGGACTGAAACCTCCACAAACTGTGACCTAAATAAACCTTTCCTTCCTTAACTTTGGGTGTCAGGTATTTTGTCTCAGCAATGAGAGAAAAGTAACCAAGACAGCAAGTAAGTGGACTGTGGAATTTAAGAGGAACCTTAACAGAAGAATGACCCTAAATATGACCCTTAAGAGAGGATCTCTCAGTAGTCTGTGTAAATAATATACTCTAGTAATTTTAAAAAAGAGAAAAAAAAAACAGAAGAGAACAGAGGTCAAGATCTTTATAGTTTCAGGAAAAACTTAGGGCCCAAATTAAACAATTACACGTTAATCAAAGTTGGGCTGATTCTCGCAGCCAAGGGATCAGAAATACCAGCTGCGTCAGAGAACAATGGTAGAGTCGGGGGTTTTTCCTCCTCTGAGGTACTTATTTGCCTAGATCTAAATTACTGCTGAAAATAGTTTGCAAATACTACACACTTTTAAAAAGTCAGTCAGATGTGGGAAGGTGCTGGGAAGTCAGACACAGCAGCTCTGACCTCTCGGTGTTGTTTCAATGCAGCAGCAAAAGTTGATTCAGGAGGTCCAGCTCAGGAGCCATCCACCGGAAGCACCGAGGAACAGCACTGGACACTCTCTGCCAATCTGAGCTAACTCTGCAAGGAGCTCAGACTTTTCCTACTTGCTAGGTAAAGGAGGATGCTGTAAATTATAAAGTGTATGTACGGAGTTCCCCTACTCCACACCTTGGGAGACCAGGCCCAGGGAAACCCATCTGTCCCGACACAGGGTTGTAAAGCCATGCACGTGGCACCAGTGGTAGCGCAAGCTTCAGTACCACCATTTCCATTTGCAGCCTGGAGCCCAGCTGCTCCTGGTCTGTCTCCATCTCTCCCACTCTTCTCCAGTCAGTGGTCCCTCGGGGTTGACTGCAGACCCCTGCCGATGCAATGTGTATCTACAGATGGGTGCTCACTTTGGGAAGCCATGCTCTCCAACATGTGTCTCCAAGGCAAGGAGCAAAGCTTTAAAAAGTTTTTATAACCAATAAAGAAAGTGCTCTTTGTACACCCCCCCCCCACACACACACGTCTAAGTACAAATCGCTCCTGAAACTGGACAGCTGAGAGGGCGCAGGCAGACCCTCGGGCCGCTGTCTGGGGCTGAAATCTCGCTTGCTTCACTACTTCCTGCGCAAACTCCAGGCACTTCACGTCTGGGAGTGGAAAGGGTGCTCATCCTACAGGCAGGAGCTGTAACACACAGCCAGGCCCAGGTAAGAGTCGGGAACGTGGAGTGCGACCTGAGTCCTTACTATGTGCATCCTGATTCAGTCCACGAATTTAACCTGGAGTAGCTGCTCTGCGACGGGTTGGCAAGTCCCTCCGTGACACCGAGGCTGAGCTTCTCACCCTTAAGTACACTGCAGCATGGAGATTACTGTCCCAGCTAACACGGACCCCTCCTGTCTATAAGCAGAAAGTGCGAAGACGGCAGGTGCGCTGCAGGTGGGGAGTACACTGTGTGCTCTGCAGTCCAGACGGCTCAGCACCGTGAAAGGACAATGGGGACAGAGCCGCTCAAGCGCAACACTTTGGATATTCTGCCTGTTCCTGCCCTTAGGCTGAGAGTCCCTGGCAACTACTTCTATCATCACATGGCCAACGGCCCCGCCTCAGTCTGTACATGGCCATCTACAGTGTCTTACCCTTGGCTCGCTTCTCCCTCACAGTGAAAGTTCACAAACTACACACGCTCAGCTCCCTAAACAGTTAGAGAAGTACTCACTTTCACCCCATCCAGTCTCTCCTGGATATTGAACTGTTGAAAATCAATGCTTATGTTGACGCATTCCATGTCCAGCTTCTGCCTGCTTATTTGAAGGCTGTATAGTGCTTATAGCTCTTTTATCCAGTTTTTTGCTAACAACAGGTTCTTGGTCTTCAGTAGAACAAAGCCCTCGGCTCTAACCTGCAAACATTGCAAAACTAAAGTTGGCCTGGTCCCGCTTCTCACTTGAGAAGTCCCACTCCAAGGAAAGGCGAGTAGAGTGGATTGCAAGATCTTCTGATGTGGGTGCTCAAGTTTTTACATTGCATTTCTCAATTCAAAAGTAAATCGAGAGCCCAGTGTGGTGGCACATTCCTGTAATCCCAGCACTGGAGGCTGAGGCAGGAAGATTGCTTCAAGTTTGAGGCCACCTTGGGCTACACAGTGAGTTGAAGACTAGTCTGAACTACACAGCAAGACCCTGTCTCAAAAAAAACAGAAAAAGAGTAAACTGAAAATCTGTGATGGGAATTCTTCAAGAAGGTCTTCCCATAGGTTGTACTGTCTTTTTGCCCCAAAATGAACAAAACAATTGTAAGACTTATTTCAGCCCCCTCCTTCCTTTCCTCAGGAAGACCCACCAGTTTCCCACTGCTCACAGCTGTGAGCTTTGGGCAAGTTACTCTGTGTCTTGGTTTCTGCTTCTGTAGAACAGACTGTGAGGACTGAACGCTGGCTTCTGGGTTTAGCGGAGGGAAAGGCAGTGTGTGGGAGCATAGATGAACCGTTCAGGCTCCAGTCTCCTGCCTCAAAGAAACAGCATGTGTTAAGTGTTAGTAGGTCTTTGTTCCTCAGTCACTCCAATCCCCCTCGCCCCCAACCTGGTTTTTGTCTCAACATAAATTCTGATGGCATAATGGGGAGAATATATACTCCTTCACTTACCTTTTCAGCACATTTTATTAAGCAGTTACTCCTTGGACACTGGGAATAAAGGAGCAAACTCCTCTTGGTTACTTACTCTGCTATGTGACTTCGGACAGGCTACCTAACATCTCCGCAGTCGAATGCGCTGCCACTGAACTATACCCCTTACCTAAGGTCTCTGGAATTCAAGGACTGACTAGCTGACTTCCACATTTCCTCCTGGTTTAGGTATTTTTACAAAATCAGTATCACTGCACCTTTCAACCTCCAACCTTCCGACAGAATTGTACAGTTCTGCTTAATAATTCTACAGAATGAACTCAGAGTTTCTATGCCTGTTGCATTGTTTTTTTCGGTTTGTTTTTTTGTTTGTTTGTTTTGTCTTTTTGAGACAAGGTCTCACTATGCAGTTCAGGCTGGCCTTGAGCTCACTTTGTATCCCAGGCTGGCCTTGAACTTGCAATGATCCTCCTGCCTCAGCCTCCGAGTGCTGGGATTATAGGCGTGCACCATCACGTCCTTTTTTCGGTTTCTCTTGAGAAAGGGTCTTGCTATGTAGCCCAGACTGGCCTCGAACGGGCGGCGATCTTCCTGCCTCAGCCTTCTGAGTGCTGGATATTAGACGTGCACCACCACGCCCAGCTGCTTGTTGCATTTTCCAACAAAGATTCCAACCACGGCGTGGAGAGGGAATGATGTGTCACAAGATACGATCAGACACATGAGTTTTACGGGTGGAAAAGTGACGAAGAATCTGACTGACCAGAAACCGACCCAAAACTCCAGCCTAAAGGAAGGTGTTTTGTAAGAGAATAAATCATGAAAAGGGGAATTGACTTTTGACTTGTCAGCAAAAGGGAAATTAAGAAAGGCAAAGGGATCAGGGGGGCAGGGTGGGGTGGGCGCACTGACCAAGATGAAGGGCAGAAATAAAACCCCAGCCCCCGCGGTGGATACCGACGTTCAGTGGTCTGCCCTACAAACTTTGGAGAACTGCGGCAAAAGGTCCATCTCGGGATCGGCCGGGACCCCCAGAGCACTCGGGGCAAGGAAGGAGACGGCTGTGCGCGGTCAGCCTTGCTCCAGGCTGCTATCTTGGCCCCCCAGCCCACTCCCCCGGTCCGCGGAACCCGCCCAGCCCAGCCCGGGGCTCCGCGCGGCGGGGGCTCACCGCAGTCCTTGTACTGCACCCGCTCGGCGCGGCCGGCGGCGAGGCACACCAGCAGCAGGAGGGCGGCGGCCAGAACGCGCATGGTGGGCAGCGAGGATCCCAGCGGCAGGAAAGACGCGGCGGCCGAAGTCACAGGACGAAGTTGTGGGGGCTGGCCCGGGGGAGGCCAATCAGGCAGCCC